GAGGAGGTAAAAGACACTGCGTAATCGCTTTTTCTTTGCTTCCTTGCAGTTTCAAGCATTTAGCATTAACTAAATCTTCCCAAGTATAGAAATGATGGTTTCTAAAAAATAAACATATGTATCGAATGAACGATTTCAGTGTTGTATCTGACGAGAAATTTCAAAATTCAACTGGTCCGAAGGCTAACTTTACATCCAGCAGAACTACTGTACAAATTTTATAGGAAAAACGTTAATGACTTGCCTTCAACTCTGGTCAGCCGGAGTTAAAGCAGATTATCACATCTTAGATGACAGACTGCTGACTTCGATCGATAAGTTATGACTTCTTAAGCATCACTATGACGTGCAGGCTATTACCCAGCCAAAATAGGAGGCGAGGCGCATCCAGCGCTACAGACGCTCAAAGCATCACGAAGTCGTCAAATTATCCAAGCATGTACATTTGAGGAGCAATACCTTTAATGCGAAACCAAGTTCTCGTTGATTAGCGATAAGATTCAGTTGATGAATGCCTATTCATTAAATCTTTAAACGTTAATGATTAATTATTTTCGCCTGAAAGTCTAGTGTTACAGTGGGTTTCGAATATAATTTAGATACAAAATTTCGTTCTTTTGATCTGCTGCCTTTCAATTTAAAACGTCATTGATATGTCGTCGCATTTTCACTGCACATGTGAATCAGGATCATTTTAATTTCGGATTTGCAGCATACTCTTCTATAACACGTTACCAGTTTTCATTTCAATTAAAACACACTAATATCACTACAAAAAATACTGCAAAATATGCAGTAAAGATTATGGTGTTCACTACCATTATAAGCGGAATAGTGCTTGCTCTACTTTCTTCATCAATACTAAATTTTCCAGGCTCTTTGAAATCACCGACTTCGCCTCTTGTTATCCGACAATTCCACCAGTGAAGGTATATCTTCAGAAACATGCCAACTGCCGTAAGAAATATCGTTATTCCATAAAATTGCACTAAAAGAAAGCATTGAAGATAGATACAGAAAATTACGCTTTAAAAATCACTAATATCCAAAACGACAAAACTTCATGTGCCTGTCGGCGCAATTCAGCAGTTCTTGACATTATTCTGAGAATGACAAATGTAGTTTAGCTGAAACATCGGCAGTTGCAATACAAACTTCGCAATTGTCCAACTCTTATTGCTAGAACAGCTGAAATTTCACATTATTCTATGCCGTAGTTAAGCAATACGGCATAATGTAGCCGCTATGACAGAGTACCGACGACGAATAACAGCACAGAAATTAGGAACCTTTTAAACAAGAATTAAGTCTGGTGCTATTCTGAAATTTTTCATTGTTTAACTACTTGGCGTGTGAGAGTGCAAGAATGATGGTGCAGAAAATTAGACTCGTAATACGCGAGTCGCGACTTCAAATGCAGGCCTACTGACTCGCCATTGATCCTTCTGAGGTAGAGTATCTAGTGGTAAGGAAGCGGAGGAATTTACTATACAAGTGTCGTCTAGATTTTGATATTGCTTTCGAAAGTATGACAAGCTTAGATAATCCTACATCCCTGATATCAGCGCACTTGGCTCAATGAGCTCAGAGTGCAGCAATTTGTACCAATCAGAAATCGACATGACAATTGTTTAAACATTTTCCAGCAGGATAGAATGAAGTTTGGTTGGTTTGTTGGATCAAATCAACATTACACTTTACTCATTTGCGAATCGTCTCAAAGTTCCATGGATAGGGGATTAAATTTTGCGAAACTAGTTGCATCCTCGTAACGATATTGCGTTCCAACGATATTGTCATGCCAGTCAGTTAGTCAGTTTCGATCATTGTATATCCTTTGGGGTCAGGGAGGCAGAGACACGTGTCGATGGCAGCATATCTTTAGAAGAACTCTCTTCAGGTCATTCTTGTCCGTATCCGGGGTAGGTCGATTGGGCAATTAGTAGCTGCTTTATCTTTTTTGTTGAAACATTCGCAAGAAGTGCTCAAACCATGGCAGTTTTGACTCGTTAATCTGGAGAAACAGCGGAAGTTCATTGGGGATCTGTCGAATGTCTGTACTATGGACCATTTCGAGACGTTTCAGCCCAGTGAATTGTCTCACAAAGCCCATTTCAGTCGCATACACCAGCCATCGTAGTTTTTTAGTAATGGCCCATGACTCATGACGGCGGTTGAGCATCGGAGTGAAAATCGACCTGAACAAGAACAGCTTAATCTTCAGACTCAGCCATATATTAATAGCATGGTCATGTGATAGTTCACGCAAAATGTCGCTATCCAATCCAAATCCATGTTCGATCTCTTTTTCCCATTTTCTATCACCGTTAAACACTGCTCCGAGGTAGATTGAAACCCCTTAATCTGTTCTACTCCTCCTTCCTTGATCTCCAGAGCGCAACGTGCAGAAGAACCAGAAGGTACAAAGTTTTCCACAGGCATGCCGGGCACGTCGCGTTCTCATTTGAACTTTTCCTCACGCTGCAGATCACTTTTCGAAGATGCCAACAAACAAGGTCATTTGTCGACAGCAAAATTCTCGTTTTGACTTTCTTATGAGGTCACTACTCTACGATGTCAATACACTTATCGCTCTAACTGCGTCTGATTATTCTATTCATGTACAACACAAATGAGAGAGGGGGCAGAACGCAGCCTTGGCGGAGACCAGTGTCAACGCTCACGGGTCTCGACTTAACACCATTCATTGTGATGCAGCACCTGCTATCAGCATATAGTGATTGGATAGCTCGCGGAAACTGGCCATCGATTCCATATGTTCATAGACACGGTCATAGCTCGTTGCGTGAAATTTCGTACTTGGGCTTTTTTAAATACAGCAAGGTACACGTGTAAATGAGAGACGGAACTCCCAAGATTTCTCGACAATCTGGCGTAAAGCAAGGATTTGGTCAGAAGTGCTTCAACTTTACACGAAGCCGCACTGCTTTTCTTACATCTTAGTGTCAGAACGCGGGAATTCGTTTCTGACAGCGTTAGGTAGTCAATGCCGCAGGCTCAAAAACGAAATGGACCAATAATTCAAGCACTTAATATTGTCTTCCTCCTTGAATAAGGGCACTACAACACATGTTGTCCGATCTATTAGTGTCTTCCCGGTAGCCATTGCAGTTTGACAGATACGCGTTAGCTACAACATGCCTTGTTCACCTTAAACTTTAACATTTAAGGATTTCACAAATTATAACATTCCTTCCGCTTTTCAGCCTTTCTACAGCTTGTGCGACTTTCATTTGTGTTTCACAAAATCTTATGGCTGAAACTGAGCACATATTGATGCTTGATAAGAATCAGCCTAGCCTCTGCACCTTATCGCAGGCAGCGGACAACGGTCAAGGCAAAGAACTGCTCCACAGCACGAAGTAAAATGTAGCTTGCTCTCCTTTTGCCGCTACGGTGTCTTTGCAGGCCTAGCGTAAACCACAGTGATGTGGAAGCGGCAGTCACTGTTCAGACGGACAAATTAGATTTCCTCTGTAAAACCCTATGATAACCACTTATTCTCAGGTATGCACCCACTCGCATTGGATTACCTTGGTTGCATTACCGTGCTCTACGTTTCTATCAGTCCAAAGAGATAGGGAATAAAAAAAACTAGGTAAAAAAATAAACTGTAACTACTGTACCGGAGCTTCAGCACGTGGCTGGTCAAGGCGCTGGTCTAAATACTTCTTGTTGGAGCAGCAGTCCCTGTTGATTACTCGACGATTATGCTTACAATTCAGTTTCATTTACCATTATTTTAAGGACTATATAAACAAGTTGCAGCGAGGAATTACCGATTTTTGGAACAGTCGTTGCTGACTTCGGAACGATTCTTAACAGATACTGCAAATAGGTACTTTGAGTCATGAGCGACGTGAGGAGAATGATTATTGAGCACTGGAACTGAACAGGGGCCATCGCTGCTGTAGTCAAAACGGATGTCAACGACGCCGGCAGGATGAAATTAATTTGAAATTGCTGGTAGATTCTTTCGAAGTGTATTCTAATTTCTAGCACGTGAGTTAATTCATGCAAATCGAAGTTCTGGGAGTCGTTCATGAGCTGCATAGTTTTAGGGTTGAAGATTTTCTCTTCTTGCGTCACCTCAGTCACCTTCCATTGTGAAAATATGCGTTTCTCTGTTTCTTCGGTCCACGACAGTTTCAGCTTGGGGCTCAGTGCCACGGTGAACTGCAACGCGTCCATACGATAGCCGCCAGAAACATACAGACGAATTGGACACACTTGTTCGTCGAACGGGAACTTGGAGAAGTCAAACTGACAGGCAGCGTGTATTTTCACTTCCGGCGATGCATACACATATCCGAAGTGATATATCTTCACAGGTGAATCCCAAACCATTTCAAATGCTGAGTATTTGGCCCTAAAACAGGTTATTAAATATCTGCTGGTTAACTTTTGACAGTTGTCATTAGAAAAATGATGTGCAGCGTGAACTTCAGAAAAAAGCCTAAAAATAAGTTGGGTTTGAAAATGAAATTACAGACGCTTTGCAGATTCATGGTTGACGACTCCAAACCACACAGATCGTTTTTACTATCAGTTCTTTTCGTTGAACACTCCGTAGCATCGCCAGGCTACGTTCACTACAATATTACATAATATAGTACCAAGAGAATAGGCTCACATGATACTCCCCCCAGTACATGAACGAGTAACCACATTCCATCACCACAAGTCATCGAGTATACCTAGAAGATATTACCGTGTGTAGATGTCCTGAAAGGGACAGCGGCAGCGAAATAGTTATGGCACAGATTAAATTCAAGTTCTGATCCTTGAATAGTGGCGAAACGTCTAACAAAATGTGTGAAATCGACAAACTGAAATATCTAGATAAAATTGAAGCATATCAGACGAAACCTGGTGGACAACACATGTTACTTATTGTTTGCAGGAGTTACATCGGTAAAGAAAACATGGGACATTTAGCAAGAGGCAATGGTAACAACGGCACAGGAGCAATTAGAATCATAGAAAAGAAGAAGGAAGACGTGGATTAGCATAGAAACTAAGCGGTTGCAAGAAAAGAGCAGGCTTGTCAAGAGTGATAACAAACAAGGCTTTAGAGAAAAGTGCAGAAAGAAATCAAAAGCCGCTAAGAAAAGATAAAACGCTTTCATGGCAAAGACCGACTGAAATAAGAAAAAGTGCTGCTCGGATATACGATATAAAGACATTGTTCAGGAAAGTTCGGAGCTAGCTGGACATAAAGAAACCTCGGCTAAAAATTGTTAAGAAAAATTGCGGTAATCTCATGTTTGATCCATCGAAGTGGTAGAGATATCGGAAACATTTTCAGTCACTTTTTAACTGAAATATTATTGTGGAATTTAAAATCGTTTGTGATATTAGGTCGAGACATAAGATGGAGGCTGATGCTGAATCAGCCATCTTTAATGACTTAATGTATTAAATGGAAAAATGGATAGCAGAGCTCTAGGGGCTTCTAGTATACAACAAACTCTCCTTCAAGTGAATCAGTGAATCTGCTTGAATTGGAATGCCTGCACGAAAACTGTCATGATCATAATGCGTAGGGAAATGTCGTTGGATGGATCCAAACAATAATCATAGAATAAATCGACTATTTGTCCTTGCTTAAGAGTTCCTTCCTATTGCAGCTAATAGGATGAGACAAAGTTTCAGGAAGATCTTGGGTGAAGCACAGTCTGCATTAAGAAGTAGAGAATGCTTGGACCGTATATTCATAATCACACAACGAATGTAAAATAAGAGAGAATGCGGATCAAAATTCTTTGCAGTTTTCATTGATTTCACCAACACCTTTTGACTCAGCATAGAGAAACGCCTTATGCAGAATTAGTGAATAATATTGAATTGTACCGAAAGCTTTTTGCCCAAATAAAACGATGCACGATCCTTTCTCAGATGAAGTGCAAACTAATCTCAGATTCAAAAACTCATTCGTACAAAGATCGGAGTACGGAAAAGAGGAATCGAGTTCCGCTCTGCTGTTTGCGTGTTTCCTGAGCATGTGCTGTAGCGAATACGAAGGAGTAAAACAACGACCATGACAAGAGTGGGCAGCATTTGCACGAACGTTTTTGCATGTGCTGATCCTATGACATCACTGTTTCATACTCTGAGAAGAATATGTTCTGATCCCTATCATTTCACTAATTTTGAGAAGACAATGTGGACAAAAAGGCTAGGAAATCAGAAAATGGTTATTTTAGTCTTGACAGGAAAGATGCTGTTAAATAGGCATGGTAATATCTCTCTATTAGTATTGCTTAAACAGCAGACAGGCGAACGACAGACGATGTGGTTGTATTAGCAACTAGCAACAAATTATTCAAGCCCTGGAAAGACAAAAACTGTGGCTATAGCAGAAACCTTAAGACACACAGAACCTGCGGTCGGGACATGTTGTTCATGACCTAGGAACAATAGCACTGAGTAGACTGGAAATAGAAAATCAATGTGTAGGAAGTGAAAATTTTGAGTTCAATATTTGAAATGAACTGAAATAATCTGGTGTCAAATGCTGCCGCAGGAATTAGAATTAGGACACGCAAAGAAAGTGACTGTTTTCTGCAAACAAGATGTTTAGGATGTGGAGATCATTGTTAATGAACGGCAACAGCTCCCTTATGAAGACAATTTTTTATGCAGTGCTTAATGGCAGTCGCACGACGAAGACTTCCGATAAGACAGGATGAACTCTTTAGAAATGGTGTGACATCTAAATGACTGAAGAATGAGAATGTATTTTTTCGATCCAGCTGTACGGCAAACGGCATCGTTTTCGATAGAATGGGAGAGGAAGAGAAGAATACGAAAAATATAAATTCGATTCATAAGAGAAATCACTCTATTATGCTCCATTGCAGCCAGCCTGTAAATTGCTGGCAATATGACCTACGAACAAATTCGGACAGGGGACTCTGATTATGCCAGAGGGTACAAGATATACGCTGTTTAGGGTATTCTGTTTGATTGGACACATCGTGCAGCTGCAATTTGTTTTTACCCACCTGTAAATTATAAAATGTAATGAATGAAAAACGACCAGGTTAACCGACTAATGTGTCATCTGCCATGCAAACTTCCTCCTGTGACATTTACTATGACTTCTGGCACGCATAACGAAAATATATGCCCTTTCAGTTAACTTGGGCATTGCTAAGGTGGACATCTCTTCTGTGGTGTTGGTCAGGCTAGGACAATCACAATAACAGTAGAGAATTTAAAATTAAACAGTACGGGTTCAACAGCGCCAATTTAGGCATCCAAATGCGGTTTTGCGTTGTAAACACGTATTTCGTTTCGTTGTACAGCGTAGATTCCCATTTTAGTGCATCATCCTGCCAACCCTTTAAAGAACAGCTTTTTTAATTTTCATTAAACATCATGAAAAAATACCATTTGGACCATTGCATGCATTTTGAGAGTTTGCTGCTCTTCATTCTTAAAACAAGTTAATATACAAGTGCATTATTTTAGGCATTCTACAACATTACCAATTCTTCAACATGAAGTATCCATGCTCTGATGCCTAACGTCAGGACCGGATCGTTCGGATTATCTGGGATTTTCGATGGGTCATAGTCTGATGCAAACAATGACGACAAAATGTCATTTACAGAAGTATGGTATGCGGTAAATGCTTGTTGATAAAATGCAAATAAGCAACTCGCCAATAAACACGCCGACATAGCTACGGAAGGGTCGAACGAATACTGTTCATGAAAACCCATTCACCTTCGATAGACGATACCTAAGCGTCAGGTTACCGTTATCGATACCCCGGACGTGTATTTTGAACTACTGTGTGCATAGTGAAGAGATTTTTCATTTTCTCTAGGACCTTGAAATGATGAGGTGCTGTGCCTACTTCATAAAACCTGAAAATGCCTAATTCAAA